GAGAGAGAGAGAGAGAGAGAGAGAGAGAGAGAGAGAGAGAGAGAGAGAGAGAGAGAGAGAGAGAGAGAGCGAAAGAGAGTAACAATAACAACGACGACACAAGTAAATATTACATCGCAGTTATGATGCATTTCGTTGCACGAAATACTGTCCCGAGAAAACGAAATCATCAGTTTCATTATACGTCAAACTGTTCGTGCTTTCTGGTCGCTACTACTACTGTAGCTTTTAGATAATGCTAGAGTAAACTTCTTAGTGAATTAGCCTACGATAACCGATGTTTGAAATATATGCTATGTCTAGTGAAGTTGTAGGGTAATGTAAAAATATCTGCATGCAGAATGCCTCGATAGGCGGCTTAATCTACTTTTATTTTCTCCGAATGCAGCGTTAACGGCACGACATAAAAAACGTTATTTCTAAAATATCGCAAATTCGCATGTTTAAAATAACGCGGTTACATAATATCTAAGCATCATCTCAAGCAAGGACACAGCATAACGTATATACGCAAATTATTGAAGCAGCCGATCGATCGAGAATTGTTTGAATCGTTGCGATTCAATTAGGTTGAAATCAATCTCTTCCAGTCGTATAACCCTTTATACGATATCAGCCGAATTAAATTAAACCAGATCATGGCTTTTATGGGTTTTTAATGACCTGGAGACTCTCAGCGTATCGTGTTTGGTGATATAATAGATATTGCAGGCAGAGAACTCTAGACAGCGAGCTTCAGTATAATGAAGACGAAATAGATGTAAAAAATAAGATCTGTGTATCAACGTTCCTAGTCGTCTCAGCACGGAAATGTAATAATTCCTATTTATAATTCCATTGACCGAATTAAATCAAAGAGTTCGTCCAAACATATCGGAACGAGCGCTGATTTTGCATATAAATAATATTGTATAGGCCTATACATAATGTATAATATATATATTTATTTATATTATATGATATATATATATAGCTATTGTATAGTTTGTTATATATTTGGTCACTTACAGAGTATAATTTGATTTGGTTATCTATTTTGTTTGCAATCGTAAACAATTTTATTTTACTCTTGCGTCCTCGAATATAACTGTGTTTTGTATATTATGTTTATTCCTCGCCAATCGCAACCAGAACGGTGTTCTAGACATTTGCGTCGATATTCACGTCTAGTGGTGTTTATGTACGTGTACAAGTAGTTTATGTACATGTACAAGTAGTTTATGTACATGTACAAGTAGTTTATGTACATGCACAAGTATAGTTTATGTACATGCATGCACAAGTAGATACAAGTGTGTAGACACGGGTAGACGCTCCATGGCCACGAATGTGCCATTGGTGTGCGTTGAATTAGACGATGATCGATTTCGCCAATTTGGGCCGTGTTTGAACCGTATATTATCCCCCTCACCTGTCCACCTGCTCGCCGCTTAAACACAGTCATCCTAGAGCAAATTTACAAACAACACGTTAATTTCACATGGCAATTTCCTTTACAAATTACCGCCCATTACCGCCCGGAATCACCAATAATTACATCTTAATTAAAGTTTGTGCGGAAAATGAGGGCGACTAGGGTAAGAGCAACGGAAGCTGGGCCTAGAATGCTTATTACAACAGCTTGTGATGACGGTGCAGGTATGGTCTTTAAGTAACGAACCGTGGCTAATTATTTAGCTCTGTACCATAACACGAGGACATAAATACACACAAGGCTACATAATGACGAGCGAGGCACGCTCTGTCACCAATGGTTCGTCACAGTACCTGGCCAGGAGACACATTTGTAATGTTGGATGGACTCAGTTATCAACTCCACGTAAAAAATTTGAATTTGTTTAACCATTGCGAAAACGTTTCCTGTATGCGTATTATAATTAAATTGAAACGTGATACCCAACAAGGGAGCATACATTCCGACTTTAAAGCAAACGAATATATCATAGAATGATAACCGCGTTATAATCAGATACGCTTAAATTACATTGTTTATGAATTTTTCTTCTCTTACTCACACAATGTTTAGTCATACCCAGACACGCGCATGTAGGCCTACATGTACGAATAGGGACATGCGCGCGCGCACACACACACATACATACACACACACACACACACACACACACACACACACACACACACACACACACACACATTCCTCACGAGGCGACGCAAGCTAAAACCTGCTAAACAAGCGTCGACTACTACTATCTCATGAGTATGAACGTTGCATGCATCATTGCATGGTCATGTCTC